GTTGTCCCTCTGGTCGTTTCTTTTATTAATAACAAGGAGAAAAATGCCAAGTGATAGCAATTTTTTATTTACATCTAGAGAATCCCTTTATTAGTTACAGTATGTAGTGTCAGGAGAGTAAGACTTGCAGAATTGTGGCTCCAAAAGGTGATAAAACTTTATATTCTCCAACACAGAAATGGGTTGGTCATCCGAAGGGATAAATTTAGTGACCTGTAATTTTTACCTTTTTGCTGTCGGGTGGAAACATGTTGCCTTTCTTTAGAGTTTTCTCTAAAATATATTGTTCTGTCATGATAGGTGAAAGAGTTAGCTTGGGGAACTTGGTGTACTCAGCCAAATGTTTGGATTTTAAATGACAAAATTGGTGGTATTGAATGTACTGTAGCTGTAATGAATGTAGTTATTGGTTGGTTAATGACCCAAGAGTGCAAGCAGGCCTGCAAGGAAAAGCCAAATATGTATTTATTAAATGAAAACAAGACCATGAACAAAATGGGCCAAAAACCCAGGACTGACCAGGAGTATTGTGTAAGAGGATCTGACAGTCTGAGAGCAATCTGTGAGCTGATTTCTGCTGGGAGGGGTGATTACTGAATGAGATCATTTGACAGGGACAGATAGTAACAGGTGTAATGAATGAGTAGACAGGGGAGCCGGGGAAACATTAGTCATGGGAATACAAACAGGTGACTGGAAAAGAGAAATTTTATATTAAAAATGCTGAACCATGAACTGAAAAGCAGGGATTTACAGAAATAAAGTCCAGGAAAACAAATGAAAACACATCAAAACCTAAAACAGTGACATCATCAATACTGCCACCAGAAATACCTAAATTACAAATGTAGGAAGTATTACAGTGCTTTAATTTTGTATTTAAAATACTTCCATATCAACAGGTTGGCATCACATCAGCTGCTATATGTCAACCTTATTGCTGCTTGGCTAAGGTAAAACCATAGATAACGTGGAGTGTGGTGAGCTACACTGATACTATGAATAAAAAAATGCCTTAATTGGCACTCCCATTCAGTACCTGATATTGGCTAGGGACATCCTTAACAAAGTTCCCATATTAAAATGGCATTTCATTTCATTAGAACATAAAGGTCCACTGCTTATTGGTATTGTCATTTTGAAGGTTCTTTTTTCTCAGTTACTTGTCCATACTTGAGTCATTTCCTGATTCCCTAAACATGGTTAAAAAATATTTTTGTCAAGATATTATTAATATCCTTGCTGTTTAGTGTGATAAAAAGGGCTTTACTAAGCTAATGAAACCAGAACAGTGATATGTATAAAACAAAGACTTTTGCATTATTTGTAACTTTGGCGGGCAGCACGGTGGCACAACTGGTAGAGCTGCTGTCTCTCAGCGAGCAGGTCCCTGGCTCAAATCCTGGTCTGGGGGCCTTTCTGGGTGGAGTTTGCATGTTCTGTCCGTGCATGTGCAGGTTTTCTCCGGGTACTCCGGTTTCCTCCCACAGACCAAAAGCATGCATGTTAGGCTGATCGGTAACTCTAAATTGTCCCTAGGTGTGAGTGAAAGAGTGAATGGTTGTTTGTCTCGTTTTTCTCTATGTGGCCCTGTGATGGACTTGCGACCTGTCCAGGGTGTACCCCGCCCCTCGCACTGTGATTGCTGGACATGGGCACTGGCGACCCCCGTGACCCAAAATGGAAGAAGTGGGTAAAAGATAATGGATGGATGGATGTAACTTTGGCAAGTTCCAATTTAAAAACCTATTTGTCTGTATCCAGAAGTTAAGATATTAATTATTCAAAATGTGTTAAAGTGAAAGACACTGGCTCCTCCTTGAATCGCCACTTTATAGTATTTTGTAGAGGAGCTTGAGTGCCTGAATGATCCTAGGAGCTATACTGTCCGGGACATTTGCCCCAGGTAGGGTCTCCCAAGATAAATTGGTTCTAGGTGACAAGCCAGACAAAAAGTTATTCAAATGACATATATAAACATAAAACAGCAAGGAACTCAGTGTCCCTTGCCTGAATGTTGGTTACTGGGTCCCCACCCTGGAGCCAGGCCTGAGGGAGGGTCTCAATGGTGAGAGCCTGGAGACTGGGTTTCTTACCCATGGGGCTCAATCAGACTCAGCCAGAATGAGCAACATGGACTTGCCTTCCTGTGGGCTCACCAGGAAGGCAGATCGTATGGCAGGAGAGGCCATACGAGTCGAGTGCAAAAGTGCCATGTATTGTAGCCAAAGGCGGGGTCTTGGCATTCTGACCCTGGCTTACCAAAGCTGGCTCTTGTGACATGGAATGTGACCTCTCTGGTAGGGAAGGACCCTGAGCTTGTGCATGAGGTTGGGAGGTAAATGGTAAATGGACTGTACTTATATAGCACCTTTCTATCTTATCAAGATACGCACAGTGCTTTACACTACAATCTGTTTACCCATTCATACAGCACTCTACTATTTTTGTACAAAGAATAATTAATTCTTTATCACATTCATACATTGATGGGACACACATCAGAGGCAACGGGGGGTTCAGTGTTTTGCCCAGGGACACTTCAGCATGTGACTGCTGGTGGAATCGAACCTCAAACTCTTGCATTGGAGGACAACTGCTCTAACCACTCAGCCACAGCCACCCTGTGGTGGTACTAACTAGATAGAGTTGGTCTCACTTTGATGCACAGCATGGGCTCTGGAACCAATCTCCTTGAGAGTGGCTGGGCCTTATTGCACTCTGGTTTCATCCACGATGAGAGACACCAAGCTAGTGTGGGTCTACACTCAGTCCCCAGCTTGGTGCCTGTGTGTTGGAGTTTTCTCCAGTAAATGAGTTAGTAGCTTTCCTGCACCTTCAGGTGGGAGGATGGGCTCTGACGATTATTTGTGCTTATGTGCCAAATGGCCGTTCAGAGTACCCAACTGTTTTGGAGTCCTTAGTGGGGGTGCTGGAAGGTGATCCAGCTGGGGACTTATTTATACTGCTGAGGGACTCCAATGCCCATGTGGGTAATGACAGTGTGACTTGGAAAGGTGTGATTGGAAGGAACAGCCTCTCTGATCTGAACCTGAGAGGTGTTTTGCTGTTGAACTATTGTCCTAGTCATGGTTTGTCCATCTCACAAACCATGTTCAAACATAAGGGTGTCCATAAGTGCACATGGTACCAAGACACCCTAGACTGCTGATCGATGATTAACTTTGTAGTCATGTCATCTGATCTATGGTTATATGCTTAGGACATTAGAGGTCACAAGACAGGAGCTAAGCTGTCAACTGATCACCACCTGGTGGTGAGAGGAAGATGCCAGACCCAAATGCATAGTGAGAGTTTGCTGAGAATGCCTGGCAGAAGAACCTGTTGAAAAGATCTTTAACTTACATCTCAGAGAGAGCTTTAACTACAAACCAGCAGAGGCAGGGGGCATTTAGTCCAAATGGGCCATTGTTGAGGTGACTGATTTGAGCTGTGGCCACAAGGTTGTCGGTGCTTCTCAAAGTGGCCATCCTTAAACTTGGATGAAGGAGGAGTTTGAAAAGGCCTTGGATATAGACTATTGATTGGCTTTGACGAGGTTCTGGCAATCCATCGATCGGTTGAGGCAGGGAAAGCAGCACTTTACCAGCACTGTGTTTAGAGTGTGGGGTGCTGTTGACCTCAACCAGTGACACTGTCAGGAGGTGGAAGGCACCTTCCACCTCTCAGATCTTTTCAGTCATACTGGCATGTCTTTCATGGAGCATGCTGAATAGGGGAACTTTGAGGTTAGTCTATTCCTAACTGGTGCTGAGGTTGCTGAGGTAGTTAAATAACTCTATGGCAGCAGGGCTCCAGGGGTGGATGAGATATGCCCTGAGCTCCTCAAGACTCTGGATGTTGCAAGGCTGTCTTGGTTGACATGCCTTTGTAACATTACATGGACACTGGGGGCAGTGCCATTGGTTTGGCAGACTGGGGTGGTAGTTCCCCTTGACCCAGGACACTAAGAAACTATGTTTCTCAGCTGGCCTGGGAACGCCTTGGGGCCCTCCCAGAAGAGCTGGAAGAGGTGGCTTGGGCAAGAGATGTTTAGGCCTCCCTGCTGAAACTGCTGCATTCACGACCTGACTCCGGACAAACAAAAGATAATGGATGGATGAATGAAAGACACCAGTTTTAATTATGAGTATGACACTAACACCTCTTGCTGTTTTTACTTAGAAAGTTGATTAGATAAAAGGTCTGTCTTCTGTTATAGATGTGATCCCACCATTTTAATGGGGATGCTGAAAATGACCATCAGCAGCATGAAGTGCTATGATGTGGTCAGTCACAATGAAATCACTCTTGACTGCTCAGAACTGTGAGAGGAGGAGAGCACTGGCCTACTTTGAGTCTGATATAATTATGTAATGCTTGAGTACCTGCAGCACCAGCAGCATGGCAACTTCTGACTGTGAATGTGAACCATGGAGCGAACAGACAGGATCTAAACTTCTCAATCCTTTTTCCTCCCCTCCTCCATGCCTTTCAACTTAATTTCATCCTGAGGTTCTGCTCACCTGGCTGCTTTTTTAGGACTTGATTGACAAATCTGTCACTCAAATTTTAAATCCTGTAGGGCTTTTTTATTCCTCCTGCAAACATTTTCTCACTATCTGTTGCTTTCCCTCACCATTCCAGGTTTCTTCTTCCACCCATTCCACTTATCCTCTTCTCCTCATCAGCTGCCAGTGCCACAAACCAAATGGAGGGTGACAGTATACAGCTGTGGTTTTGTCCTCCAGACAGCATCTTACAGAAAAGCTTATCTCCACACACTCACACCCACATGTACTTACTCACACAAGAGAGGACGGGCAGGTTCGGCACTAACCCGAGACTGTCTTTTCTCTCATGTAACATCTTTAGTGTGAAATTTTGCCATACGGCATACATACGTTACACACAGTCAGACATAAAGTCATACTGTATGAAAAAGTTGTTTCATCATTGGATAAGTCATTAAGCCTGTTTTTTTTTTTTTTTCTTTTCAGAAAGGAAAGCTCCATGTGGCCTTGCAGGAGAAAAACCGTCTGAACCTCGAGCTGGTTGACCACCACCTGAAGTCATCCAAGTATGATCAGGTGAGACTTTTTTTTTGTGTGTCAAGGCTGTCTGCATTCACACCATCATTTTCTTTTCTTTTTAATACATTTTTTCTGTATGTTTTTAGAAATCTAAGTAGTTCTATATACTTAGTGTTATATTAGCCATTCATATATTAAAAATTCAACTAACTCCAGACAAGGGTACTATGACTAGTACATTTTGAAGGTTTTAAATTTTATAAATATTTCCCCATTTCTCCGAGCTTTTGCTATTTTTATCTTTAAGTTATGCTTACTTATTTTTATGTTTTAAATCGGATTTTACCAGTTAACTTTTAGCTTAGAGACAATCTATGCTGCCAAGAGTCAGCATGGCCACAGACATTCCCTCCCATTCTGCCCAGCATCCATTGCACCTGACCTTGACAGACCTCTCCACAGGTGGTGGACCAACGTGGTTGTGGCTTCCTGTCCTTTCTTTAGGCTTGGCTCAGCTGAGCCCCAGAAGCCAAAGCTCAACCAACAGGTGCTTGCCAGAGAGCCTCCCAGTAGGTGCACCAGTTTCCTTTATTTAGGTGAGGTTTCTTGATGCGACTGTTGTTTTGTCATCAAGGGCTTTGAATCGTTCTTAGTCTGACCGCTCTCTCGAGGCTTGTTTGTCAGGGGAGATCCTACCAGGGGCTAATGACCCAGACAACATAGCTCTCAGGATCACAGGGGTACTCAAACCCCTCCACCATGTTAAGGTGGTGATTCTGCAGAGGAGACATGTGTGCCTTAGGTGGAGGATTTCAAGTATCTGGGCATCTTGTTCAAGAGTGATGGTAGGATGGAGCAAGAGATGGATCATCAGATTGGGGCCCTGCACTCAGTAATAAGGGCATTACTTTGGTTTGTTGTGCTGAAGAGAGAGCTGAGCCGAAAGTCAAAGTTCTTGATTCATTGGTCTGTCTATGTTCCAACCCTCACCTATGGTCATGAGGTTTGGATCATGACCGAAGGAACAAGATCCCGCATACAAGCAGTCAAAATGGGCTTCCTTTGCAGGGTGACTGCGCTTAGCCTTTGAGATAAGTTGAGGAGCTCCGTCATCCAGGGGACGCTCAAAGTAGAGTCACTGCTATTCCCCATCGAAAGGAGTCTGTTGAGGTGGTTTGGACATCTGATAAGAGGCCTCAATGCCTCCCTAGAGATTTTCCAGACACGTCTCACTGGTAGGAGGCTCCGGGGAAGATCCAGAAGTCAATGGAAGGATTGTGTATCTGGCCTGGCAACACCTCGGGGTTCCACAGAACAAGCTGAAAAATGTTGCTGGGTAGATGGATATCTGGGTTTCTCTCTGTTACCTCCACAACACGATTACTGATAAGTGGTAGAAGATGAATAGCTTTTAGGTTGCCTTTTGATACTTTTATCAAACTTTTTGCTCATTTTACCTAGCATTTTGCTGCATTTAGTTTTTAGTTAGCCTTTTGCTACGTTGAGCATTTCGTTAGCATTTAATGACTTTCTAGTATCTTGCTTCTTTTATCTTTTATCTGGGTGTTTTCATTTTAGCTTTCATCTAGTGTCCTGGTTTTTTTGGCTTCAAATCTATTCTGTAATAGATTTCAGCAGTCTTTCAATACTCAGCATTCATATTGTTTCTTCCAAAAATTGCAATTTATCTTGTTTGATGTACAAATCATACATAACAAGGGCACACACACACATCTGATGGTGACTAATGGTAGACCAGATGATTTCCAGTGAGAAAAATCCATTTTATTTACAGCCTCTATGATTTAGAAGCAACATATCACATGTTTACTGTTTTATAAATGGTTCAGTGATATGTTGGAATCTGATTCATCTCCACAGATCAATACAGCTGCAGCGGTGTTATCATCTGCTCACAAACAAGAGCATTTGCTGCTACTTCTTCATTTTATTATTTTAAACAATGTGTACCAATGCCACTTTTTTTCCACAATGTGTATACCTTATTGTTCTACTTTTTAAAATTTTTTTTATCCGTTACTTGGTCGTTTGAAAGGTGGCAGGCAATATGCATTCCTTTAAAGAATGCTAGGCCTTTATTCTTTATGTGTGTTCCAGAGCTCACTCTTCATCAGATTTCACATGTGAGAAAACACTGATGTAGGAAGAGAGACAGTGACTGACTGTGACTGGAGGCAATTAGTTGCCCTGGCTTTAATAGTGACTTTCACAGGCTGGGGGGGGGGGGGTGTTGACATGTGTCCAGGAGCTCTGCTCAGAGCTCTTGCTCCAAAAATGATGCCATCTGTGCACTGACAAGGTGGGCACAGAGATGAAAATGAATTAGGGGGGCTGAAACCTTGTTCAGTCCTGCCAGATTTACAGTATGAATGAGGGCTGCTGGCTTGTAAGGCCAATTGTTGGAAAGGCCCGGGCAGAATGTGCTGAACTGTGCAAAGATGATGAATAATGAAAAAGGCAAAAGACAAAGAAAGACACTGAGTATGTGAGAGGAAAAAAAATGACTGCGGCAATATTACTACACAAAGTTATCAAAGAAAAGAAACTGTCCAGATGACCTGATTGACCAATATTGTATTTTGTACCTGGACGATTGAGCATGAACTTTGACGAGGTTATTCATCAGAGACATTTTCAAAAAGAATATAAACATTCATTATCCACCGCCATAAAAGGCAGGCATTAATATAACTGCTTGTGACTGTGTTTGTGTGAGCATGTGCTAATTTGTCTGTTACCAAAATATCTTATGAACCAGACAGATTTTAATGAAACTCTCAGAAATTAATCATTAGATGTGCAACTATAACGGATTACCTTTTGGAGTTAACCAAAATTAAGATGGCTGCCACATCTATTGACCTTAGCTAACACAAAAATGGCTATAACAGCCAATTCTTTAGATATTAGCTAAAACTTATTGTGGTAGTAGCTGAGAGTTATCCCCAATAAATAGTCAGAGCCCTAACAAATTGTGCAATATCTTCATTTAAATTTTTGGCATGGACAAGGTGCATTCTTGTAAGAAATTATTATTATTATTATTATTATTATTTTTAAATCACCATCTTGTTTTAGGCTTATTTTAGTTAAAAAAAAAAAATCTCAACTGCTTTCATATGATAGGATCTTGTTTAACTATAAAGACTCGTTGTATTTATATATTGTAAGTTGTATTTGCACGTTATGTTTTTCCCTTACCTTTTAATTTGTGTTACTCTTTGAGGTCAGACAGCAGTCACTGTCCAAGCTTAGACTACTTTGGATTAAAAACCAACGAAGTGGCCTAATTGTAAATAGAAATATATATATTTGTTTACAGCTGTAATAGTTTCACACATTTTTCCATTTATATAATTGACTTTTAAATGTGTGTTAATGGTCTTGCTCCAGAGCCAGTGAGCTAAACTATTTTAAAAGCAGCAGCACTGGAGCAGCAGCAACACAAGCAGTTTATGATGATTGTAAACCACAGAAACCCAAAACATCATTTAGATAATTTCCTTTTTTTTGTTTTAGGGTTTTCAGAGTTGGAACCGTTTGCCAATGCTAATCAAAAACTATCAGATTTGGGAGGGTTTTTTTAATGGTTGTGTGGCTAAATGTCACAACATGCTGGGCCTTTAAGCGTCATGAAATAATTTTTTAATACATTTCTTCAACTTTTGTTGATTGTTGTGTTTATGTTATTGTGTGAATGCTTAAGAAGCTTATTTTGCTTATTTTTGTGCTTTTTCAACAAATCATAAATCAAAATAATTAATTAATTAATCAGGCACGGACCAGTGGTGTGACCACTTAATTTGGACCTTTTGGAATCTACGTAAGACCAGCAAAGACTCGAGGCAGATAAAATTCTGTCCGTCTTCAAAACAAATGTTGTTTATCTGAATTTGGCTCCCTCGGCTGGCCTTGCAGGCCACCTTATCTCAATTCGCCTGGAGGCTTTGTAATCTGACGCTCTGTCCCCCTCATTCTCACAGAGGGAGTCCACGATCAACCAGAGGGAACCAGCTGAATAAACATTGCGTCATCATTTCAGGACTCTTGGATTCTCACTGGCGTTGTCCTTGGCCATTCCCCGACACTCCTCGAGAATGTTTACGGATCCCACCGGAGGGAACTGCTGAATATTCCATCCTTATCAGAAATCCTACAGTGCCCCTTGAGCGTCCTTGGACACTCTCACCACCCTTGTCGTCTCTCCCCCCGCGGAACGTCTACATCACCATGTGCTTCTATGTGCGTTTTTTTTTCTTCAATATCAGAGTCTTTCTTCTCAGCCAAGAAGTAGGAGTTTGATAGGATTTTTTTTTGCCTCCTAATCCTACATGTGTCACTTTCACTACTTTTTGTCTGCCTGAACAGATCTCACTTGTAAATGAGTCTTCGAGGCTCCGTGTGATTTATCTGTCTAAATAAAGGTTGAATGGAAAAAACAAAAACATTCAGCTCGTTCAGGAAAAGGGTGCTACGACTTTTGGAATTGCTGCAACTTTAGCTTTTTGAAATATTTAGCCTTTTCTGCCACGTTTTTTCCCCTTGAGCTCATTTTCCATCCTTCAAATCTTTAGATCTGTTTACAACCTTTTACTGCTTCGTTCACATTTTGTTCTGGTTCAGCTTCTTTCAGCTTCCTTGTGCAAATTTAAACTTATTTTCAGCTACATTCTGCTAATTTCAGCCGTTTTTTTCAGTTGTTTTGTGCTCCTTTCAGATTCTTTCTGCTAAATAGAACAATTTTGTGCTTCTTCAAACTTCTTTCTGCTAATTTCAATTTATTATGCTTCTTTTAGATTATTTATGCAAGTTTCAGCTTTTTCTGCTATTTTGGCTATTATTTAGCTGTTTAATGCTAATTTTAGCTTTCTCAGCTAATTCCACATTTTTTGCACTCATTTCAACTTTTTTCAGCCTAATTCAGCAAAAATGTGCTCTCTCCACTTCCTTCTGGTAATTTAAGCTTCTTTCTGCTTTTATTTAGCCACTTTTTTCAGCTGTTTTTTTCTTCTAATTTCAGCTTTTTTCATAAAATTTTTACTTCTTTGTGCACATTTCTGATTCTTTCAGCCTAATTGGGCAAACATCTGTTCAATCTGTTTTCTTCTGCTAGTTTAAGCTTGTTCTACCTTTTCAGCTATTTTTTTTTAGCAAATTTGAGCTAATTTCAGCTGTTTTCAGATAAATTCTAGTTTTTTTCTAGTAATTTCTGCTACTTTCAGCCTAATTAACTTCTTTATGTCAATTTCAGCTTGTTATGCTCCTTTCAGCTTTTATTTGCTAGCTTCAGCTTTTTCTGCTCTTTCAGCAACTATTTGAAACATTTTTTTTAGCTTTTTGATGCTAATTTTAGCTTTATCAGCTAATTCCACATTTCTTTAGCTCATTTAAGCAATTTCCACTTCCTTCTGGTAGTTTTAGCTTCTTTCTGCCTTTTCAGATACCTTTCAGCATTTTCTTTTCTAATTTTAGCTTTTTTAGATAATTTCCTAATTTTTATTCTAATTTCTGCTTTTTCTGTTTTCTTCTGCTAATTTAGGCTTGTTCTTCCATTTCAGCTATGTTATTTTTAGCTAATTTCAGCTGTTTTTCAGCAAGTTCTTCTGCAGTAAGCTTTGACTGCATTTTTTTTCTTCAGGAAATGCAATTTCTTCTCTTGATTTTGCATGGAATTTCTTCTTGCCTGAACTCATAGAATTCAAACACTTTTACAAGAAATTTGACCAAAGAACAAAATCTATATAACAATACCAGCTTTAACACTTAAAAAAAATTATTAACTGAAATGTAAATCTTCTATATGTTAACTGTTCTCAAAATATCACTGAATATAAAATATTAATCAAAGTTATTCAATTTAATAGTGCTGCTTCTTGTATCTTGGGCGTCTCTGTTAGAAGAGTTTCCACTGGTGGCATCTTTATGAATGCCACAAATAATAATGATAATAATACATTTTATTTGTATAGTGCTTTTCTAAATACTCAAAGATGCTTTACATGAATAATCAGAATTGTATGCACTTTAGGTGTATGAACTTATCACTTGATGCACTCGTCGTTTTGTTAATAAATGAGAATAATTTATGAATTGATGTTTGAAACGTCCAAACATCCATTGAAAATTGGGTGTTTGGCTGCAGAGGCTCAGTCTGGTGAGGCCAACTTTAGAAGAACCAGATTGCAGCTGATATCAAAATGTGAGGCAGCGCGCTCAAGTCAGCAGGTCCGACTCATCAAGGGTAAATGGAAATGTGCTGATTAATTTCTCTTCAGATTGGGACGTCAAAACCAACCCTTCAGCCAACAAAGAAAGAGAAGCTGCCACTCTTCATGCATGTTAAAAAGCAAGTCTGCTGCAAAAGCAACCCTGTAAGATGGCTACATTTATAAACATTTAAAGTAAAACGAAGACGTGATTATAGTTTTTATTTTTAGTTTCTTCTGCTTTTCTTATTAGATCTTGTCTTTTTATGTTGTCAGCCGTTATCTAACCTCCTCCATCTCCTCAAACGATTCATCACCCTTTGTCCTCTCTAATGTCCTGACTCCATTTGTGCTTCGTGTCCCTGCAGGTGCAATGTGACTACGAGCAGCTGAGACAAACCTTTGCTGTAGTGAGCCGGGAGCGAGACGTGGCCCAGCAGCAGAGGAAACACCTCCAGCTCAAAGTAGATAACTTGGAACAGCTTCTGAAGGTGACACAAAACTCCTAAAACAAACTAAAGTATGGTTGTAAAGCACGTAGAGACATTTCTCTTTTATGATGGCGGTTTAAATGTAGATTCTCGACACAGAGTCTTCCTTTTGAGTGATTTTTTTTTACTAAAGAGCTCAAACAATTGACTGTAGGATGATTTAAAAATATCAGAAGACAAATGATTTTGTGACTATTTACAATAGATGTGTGGAAAACAACTATCTGATGGTTTTCAATCCCCAAATTTATGTTTCTTCCTATTACAAAAGAAGTACTTCGCTGCAGTATGACTAGGCCTAAGTACTGTATTTTTTGCCATATAAGTCGCACCTTTTTGCATAAATTTGCAAGTCCTGTGACTTATACAGTGAAGCAACTAATATACGTTTTTTTCCACATATTTGTAACCCAATTTTTGGCTGACGATTTAATTCATTCTGACGTGGAAAATATTGAACACTACCATTTTCATCCACTAGAGGGCACTCGTGTAATACGGCAAGCCAAGTGTCTCATTAATAGGTAAAAGTGGCTATTAATGAGACACTTGGCTTACCATAGCAACCACCTTTGTCTCGTTCCAGAACTCCTAGAGCAAACGTCAAATCAGCTGAATTTTGCTGCGTCGCCCAGGTGAAATGCAGCTGATTTGACCGTTAACGTGCATTTATTAAGGAAAAGTTCAACTGAGACACACCTTTACTATAATGTCGAGCAAAGAAATAATTGTTTTTAAGTGTTAATCTTGTTAAATCCTTGATAAAGTCCTCTTGTTCACGCTCACGCGACCGCCGTTTGGCAGCCAATTGATTTTTGGCACAACACCGGCCCACGTTTCCGGGTTGTCAGTGGTGACTCATAACAAATGCGATGCTTCAGCGGTGGTGCATAATAGATGCGACTTATACGGAGAAGTGACATACGTATGTTCTTTTCCACTTTATCAGACATTTTTGGACTGATGCGGCTTATACGGCGGTGCGACGTGTACGGCGGCAAGTATGGTACTTGTTGAAACTACGTATTTGTTATCGCTAGGTAAAGGAAAATGGTGCTAATGTTTTTGCCCTTTGGATGTTTGTTCGTCTGACTGTAGCTTTAGCCAAATACCTCAAGAACCACTGGACAAATTTTAAACAAACTGAGAATATTCAATGGAAGTACAAATACAACTGATTAACTTAAAGTTAACCCTATACAAGATGGTTAGCATAACTAATCAACCTTAATCAACACAGAAATGGCTCTAACTCAGCCGGCTTTACCCATGAGATGAAAGTTCGAGTGGTAGTAGCTAAGACTCATCCCTAACACATTCGTAGCTCTGCATGACACAGTATATTTGCTTAACACTTTGTTCTTCCTCCTCTGTCCTCACTCCAAGTACCTCCACATCTGCTCTAATTGCATCCATAGATCTCCTCTTTGTCTTTTTCCTGGAAGCTGCATTTCCAACACTCGGTCTTTCATTGTGTTTTTTTATGCACGGTAGTTTTTTTCTGACAACTTAGGACTCAAACTCATCTCCAAAATGTTTGATTCCTATAACACTTTACATACATTTCTCATAAACTAAGGTAAAGTATGGTTTGTTTTGTGGAGAGGCTCCTTTTTCATTCTGTTTCTACCTGCCAATAATAATCCCATAGAGTGACCGCACAGCGAGGGGTACTGTCATTACAAATCCTCACCTCGCTGCATCTCTTATTGATTGTCTGTTTGTCAGGATATTTCAGAGATAAATGTACTCGTATGAGAGAAGCTGACCTGCTTTCTTATACGGCAATGAAAGGTTTGTCAATTTTTCACTGAGAATTGATTATAGAGACAAAGAGAGTATTCAGAGAAAATTACATTGAAGCGACATGGGTGGAAAAAACAGACATGGTGGAAACAACAATAAAAACAACTAAAAACAACTCCATATACTATATAACCACTGTAATTGTTTAAATGGATTTTTAAATTCAATCATTAAAGAAGCATCTTTTTCAGTGTTGTTTTTTCCAAAGTTACACAACCTGGTGGCACAAAACTACCGGTATACATATTTTTAATCTCATAAAGATAGCTACACATTAAGTATGGTTCTTAATAAAATCAGTGTCATTCAAGGCGATTGTTAAATATATATTTTTATCTCTAAATTAAGATGAACGGTATGCATTTGGATCCTTTAACTACACAGTAACTCAAGGGCGTTTTTTGTTATAGAACAATTCGGCAATTTAGTTTGATGCAATTTCATGTATTCTAGGAAGTTATCACTTCTTCAATCTAACTAAAACACAATATTCATTTTAAGTGGCTTTGTTGTTCAACCTTAAATTAGGAAATCTGTATCGTCATTAGACTAAAAACTACTTATGATAAATCTATATCTTTCATTTTTTCTTTAATGTACAAAAAAAGTTAACAATGTTGAGAATAACACAGATTTTTTTTTTTTTACTACAAAGCTTATGTATCATTTCACAAAGTCACATTATTGTGGTAAGTAGGGGTAATTTGCTGAAAAAGCTGAAATTGAGTTTTTAGAAAGGGTAAAAAAATAACTGAAAACTAAAGGACTAAAACACTAGCTAAAAGCTAAACAAACTACCATATTTTCCGCTGTACATCCATAAATAACTCGTTTCCGCATATAAGTCGCAGGGCATGCAAATTATGCCAAACCCCCCCCCCCAAAAAAACGTGACTTATAGGTCGAAAAATATGGTAAGTCAAAAGTAGGAAAATGGAACCAAGACTTAAAAGTAGCAGAATGGTAGCTAAATGCTAAAAGTAGCAAAAGTTTAAACTAGCTAAAGGTTAAAGTAGCAGAATGGTAGTTATAAACTAGAATTTCCGTAAGAACACAAAAATAGATCAAGTCTGCTGAAGCAGATTTAAAAAGAGCAACATATGTGAAGAAACTGAAGCAATCTCAATGTATTGCTATAGAAAAAAATATTTGAAATTGAAGTTAAATGTTTTGAAAAGTATAAAAGTTACATAACCTTAAAGTCGTAGCCAATTCTCAGTTGAGCTGAACATTTTGTTCTATAAATAGCTCAAATAAAACAAAGCACCGTATTTTTCAGATGATAAGGCGCACCGGATTATAAGGCGCATTAAGCGAAACAAAACAGTCAGATAAGTCAAACTTTATTCATCTCATTAACAATAACCACATAAAATTGGTTCCAAGTCAGTAAGCACAACCAGAGTTAATACATAAAATTATAAGGGTCACTATTGATTTTTGAGAAAATTAAAGGATTTTAAGTGTGCCTTATAGTATGAAAAGTACGGTATGCAAAAGTAGTTAGACTGCAAAATCCATACGAATGAAAAGCAGAAAACAATAGTGTGAATGCTGAATCAGCATTGTCACCAAAAGCCTCTTTTTAAGTTTTTATATCCCACTTTTAATAAAGGGCTGATGATTCTATAAGAAGCTTTGGAATTTAGTATAAGTGGCCTGTATCGTGGGCAGTTGCTGGAAGTTAAGATCAGATATGAAATCCGACTGCGCAGTGGGGATTCTCAGGTTTATTCCTACTTGAACATTCCAGTGTTTGATTTTTGCTTCAAAATGCAAGTGTTAGCAAGGCTGAATTTTTTCCCCCCTAAGGCTGTATGACAGTCCTCTGCAGCTTAGAGCTTCTCCGATTATACGAATGGCTGCCTGCTCAGGACACCTCGAAGTCTCTCTGGGAGGAAAAGAAGCTTTTCTTTTTCGAGAGGGAAAAGAACACATGGGGGGAGGAATCCAAGTTTAAGAGGTTTTCTAATCTGTTCACCCTAAATGCACAGAAATATTCCACAGTCTTAACTCGGTCTCTGAAAGATGTTGCAGCTCGTTGTGGAAGAAGAAAAAACAAACAAATAGATTATATAGACATAACTTTGCTAATTTAGTGGAGGGTAGATTTGAGATGAGCAGAGGTGATGATGCACAACAGCTTAGACTCAGATCTGAACATATAAAGAGAGGGGTGAGACAGATGTATATGGGTGCTGCTTGTTTAAGTTACACAGTTAAAAATTAACATCAATATTTTGATTTGTTGAGCCTTTCATAAGAAAAATAGTTTTTTTTCAGTCATATTTTCACCATGTTATCTTTACATTTATAAACGTCATAGTTCCAAAGTAAATATTTAATTTACAAGCTAAATATTTAGTTTACAAACTAAATCCTTAACTTGCAAGTTAAATATTTAGTCAGAAAGCTAAATAGTTAGCTCCACGCTAAATATTTATTATAAAAACTAAATGCTTATTTTCAAGCTAAATGTTTAATTTACAAACTAAATATTTAACTTGCAAGTTAAATATTTAGGTCTGAGCTAAACATTTAGTCAGCAAATTAAATATTTACTTTGGAAATTAAATGTTTCGCTTGGAAAATAAATATTTACGTCAGAGCTAAATATTTAGTTAGCAAATTAAATATTTAGTTTAAGAATTAAATGTTTAGCTTAGCAATAAATGTTTAGTTTGGAAAATAAATATTTAGCTTTGAAATTAACTATTTTTTTTCACCAAAATATTTAGATCACTTAACAAAATATTTATCTTGCAAGTTAAATATTTAGTTTGTAAATTAACAATTTTACTTTGACTTAAACATTTACTTTGTAAACTAAATATTTAGTGTGGAGCAAAATAGCTTGGTAACTTATTTAGCTTGAAAGTTAAATATTTAGTTTATAAAGTAAATTGCTTTAGTTTGGAAAATAAATACTGGGTTTGGAAAATATATATTTAGCCTTGAAATTAAACATTTAATTTACACCTAAATATTTAGTTCACTAAACTAAATAAATAACTAAATAAATATTTAGTTCACTAAACTAAATATTTATATTGCAAGTTAAATATTTAGTTTGTAAATTAAATATTTAGCTTGGACATAGACATTTAGTTTGTACACTAATTATTTAGTGTGGAGCTAAATATTTAGTTTGCTAACTAAATATTTAACTTGTAAATTAAATATTTAGTTTGGAACTACGATATTTAGAAATGTTTGAATAACATAGTGAAAATATGACTTTGAAAAATAATTTTTTCTTATGAAAGGCGAAATTAACCAAAATATTGCTGTTAATTTTTGACTGTTTAACTTTACAAATGGCACCCCATAGTTGAACTTTACAAATAATCCAAATAAATACAAGTCTAACATTTCTTGAAGGAATGCATAGCCCCAAATGATCAGGAAATATTTTACAACAGACGCAGGCAAAAACACTTTCAATTTGTTTTTTCCATTCAGCAGTATAAAAATCAAGACAGCTGACATTTTGTGTTAGTTTTAAAAAGGATGATCAGAAATAGAGACACTTTAAAGCAGTTGGACAGAGGGAATCCACTTGCTTTCATTAAGGTGGAATTGTAGCAAGCATTGTAAGTTTGAATATGTTCTGATACTCTTGGCAACCCTTCAATACTGGCTTAATCTGAAAGTCTTAGCTGATATGGAGCTGTGAATTGTGGGATTTAATAAAATCAAAATGAAGCACCCCAGCTTTCCTTTTAATGTGTGTAAAATACTAAAAGTTTGAGCTCAGTTTCCTCTAAAACAACCTGCCTACATCAACAGAGCAGCGCTCTGATAACCACAGAGAGTCATGAACTCCAGCTACCTGCCATTTCCGGTAAAACAAAACCTGTTGTTAATTCTAATATGTCTAAATAAGATCCTTCATCTGTATTCCCCTCCACAGCATATGCATGAAGCTCTAGAGCTCAAACAGCAGCTGCAGACAGAGCATGAGCAAGCCTTGGCGGCCCTGCAGAACAAGCAGAGGGAGATCAATCAGCTGCAAAAGGTACAACCGTAAGTAAAAACAAAACTAGACATTAGACATTGATTTTTTTATTTATTTTTTTTGCACTGACTTAATTCCAAGGCTTCTTGTACAGTCATCAATGCACAGCCAGCTTCTGCTAATCCACCGCCAGTCATTTACCAGAAAACAGCTCAGACAGTTCTAGAGGAGCAGGCTGGTTCAGAGATGCAGGTTCAGCTTTGATGCTTTGGATTTTGAGGTACAATGTTAAAAATGTGCCATGTTAGTGTTTGAGAAATACACACACACACCATGCGTTTCAGAATGTAAAACACTTTAAATATCACAGGATACTGAACACATTTTATCAAGAAAAAGCACTTTTGAGATTTAGTTGCGATTTTAAGTTTTACTGAGCTTCAACCAAAATAGTTGACTTGATAGTAACTCATTTAAAACTCTCAGCTTGCATATTATTCATCGTTGGTGATTACAGTGAATCGTCTTTATTAATAAATGTACTAACTTGTTTTATTGTCACAAATATACAAATTTTGTTCTACACTTTGGATGTAGTATTTGTTGTGTTCTTGTAAAATAGTACTTTCCCAAAAGCCCTATTAGAGGAGCATTTTATCTTAAAATTTAAAACTCTTTTACTGAAAGCAAAGCTCTATAGATGTTTTTTGTATCTTTATTTCATTGTTGAACTGATGTTTGTTGAAACAATTTATTATCTATTAAATAGAAGCAAATGGCCCAAACCTTTCCTGCGTTGTTTGTTTGCCACAAGAGGAGTTTTTACAACCCCAATTCCAAAAATGAGCCATTCACAAATGCAGGTGATCAAAGAGCTCATATGCGAACACCATCCAGAAATAAACACTTATTTAACACAATAAACACATTAATATTTTTGTCTGTACTGGACCTGTTTAGAACTTAGTTGTTGGTATTTTTATATTCTCTGTTATTTTTTATATCTTGTGTGATTCCTTGTGTATGTTTCCTTGTACTGAAACTCTGGCGCAACAATATCCTGTGGGATCAATAAAGTCTTATCTTATCTTATCTTATCTTATCTTATCTTATCTTATCTTATCTTATCTTATCTTATCTTATCTTATCTTTTATCTTATCTTATCTTAAATGCTGCCAAATTCTCTGTGCCAAAACTCACATAATTTAAAATGGACTGAAGCCAAGTGGAAAATAGTTTGAGCAGATAAATAGAACATTAAAATTATTTTTGTTAACCAATTCCTCTGCACTGTACCTCTGTTATCAGTGCATAGCTGAAAAGCCTGCTTCTCAGGTGGTATGGGGGTGCATTAGTATCTATAGCGAGAGGTGCTTGCACATTTGGAAAGGTCCCATCAATGCAGAACAATATATACAGATTTTAAACCATGCGCTCCCATCCAGATTATTATTACTTTTTTTCAGGTAAGGCCTTTCAGCACAATTCAGCAACACAATACTGAACCACGTACTACATCCGTTACAACAGCGTGACTGCCTAGTACCAGATTCCCAGAGTGGAACTAACCTACCTTAAGTCCAGACCTCTCACCAAATGAAAATACTTTTAATCATGAAATGAAAAATCTGACAAAGACCTAGGACTGGTAAAACAGAGCAGCAGTCCTCTCCAAAAACATTTCTTTTGTTTATTATGTTCCAATGTGAATAAAACGTGGGTTCATGAGATGTTCAAATAATTGAATTCGGTGTTAGTTTACATTTTTTACAACGTCCTAACTTTTATGGACTTGGGGCGGTTGTATTTTCTGGTCTTCCACACACTTTGACTTGCAGACCAGTTTCCTTTTTATCTGAGCTGTGCCATCAGGAGCAGTATCTCTCAGTGTACCGGTGCTGTGATGAGTCTTTTCCAGGTTGCTGCGTGGACACTGTGTCAGCTGTGTGATGTGCAGTTTACCTCTCAGACTGTGATCACAGTGTCAGCTGTCACCGTACGTTTCTGTGTCTTCTGTGCAGGCCTGGCTTCAAACTGACCAACAGCATGAGGAAGCAGTGCACTTGTTAGAGGTACAGTAACATGAACCAACACTGATCAGTTTGCATCAGCGACAGCTTCAATGTTGCCCACTCTATTTAAAGAATAATTTATTATGAAGTCAGTTTTATTGGAGGTCTAACCAAGACGGTCTGAAGAATTTATTCTAAGAACTATACTGGATCTGCAAGACTTGACTCACACTTTGAGCTTAATGCTGAAAGGATACTTTTTTAATTAAAAAAAAAAATACATACCAACATACAAATTTGCATTTTTAGCTGCTGATGGTGCAACTTGAAAAGTCATGAAATCAGCAAAATATTGCAAGCTTCTTCTGGGGTTCACGAGCTTCCATGGGAAATTTTATGCAAATCCATCTTGTGACTGTTGCGATATTTTTCAGTCTGGCACACAGTGTTGCATTTACCAACACTCTCATCCCTAGAAGAAGTGTTAAAGAAAAGACTCTTATTAGAACAAATTGCTGAATGGATGCACACAAGCTTTCAATAATTCACCCTCTGCAGAGGTCAAAATCATATGGACTCTGTTTATCAAAGTGGACCTACCGTATTTTTTGGACTATAAGGCGCACCGGATTACAAGATGCATTAAGTGAAAAAACAACAACAACAAAACAGTCAGATAAGTCAAACTTTATTCAACTCATTCACAACAACCACATAAAATGGGTTTGAGGTCAGTAAGCACAACCACAATCAATACATAAGGCGCACTGGATTATAAGGCTGACTGTGGATTTTTTTTTTTAAATTAAAGCATTTTAAGTGCACCTTATAGTCTGAAAAACATGGTATGTGTCCCATGCTATATACAGTAGTCCCTCGCTACTTTGCGGTTTTTCAAAGTAAGATTGGATCTTACTTTATATATGTACTTTGTATATAAACTACCACTTGTACTACTTTCTTTACTTCACGGTTTTTCACTTATTGCAGGGCTTCATGGTAGGATCCCCCACGATAAACGAGGGGCTACTGTAATGCATAGAGAGAGACAAAAGTAATTTAGTGAAGAGTATGAATATCAAAAATTGAATAGTTTGACACAGCTCTGGATTAAAGTTATTACGGGCAGTCAAAATATATATATTTTTAATGTTGAGCAGCATGTTTAATTTAAACGGCAGCGCCTCTTAGCAACAATATCAAACTTTATGGTTTCTGTCAGTGATACTGACCCTGCGGTGCTGAAAATTCTCAAAAATGCTTGAGTTTTGTTGTGGGCATTTTAAAAATTTTAAATGTGCTTGAAAACATAAAAAAAAATCTGATTACTTTCAAAATAAATTGCGGTTTTATTTTAGAGTTTCCTTTTAAAATTAAAGAAAAAAAAATCCACGTTTGCTTTTATCAAACTCATTTTGGAAAGCTTTTTTTGAGTCTGCACATTGGATTAGTCAAATAATTTATTACAAAGTGATAGGCTGCCCTTTTCCAAAATGCAATGTGTAGAAATCTGAGACGTTCTTGCAAGCAATTAATTGAACTCTGACAAAAGGCTTCAACATCATATATTTCATTTAGGATGTAATGTTCACTTTTAGATAAGCTGCTCTTTGTGTTTTTCATTTCTAATCCTTAAACAAGATAAAACTTTTTTTGCTCTGAATAGTAAATTAGCATTAAACTAGGGATGCACGCTATTGTATTTTTGACCGATGTCCGATATGCTGATATATTAAAACTTATTTGGCCAATAACCGATACAGATATTTTATATACTTTCCTTTGTCAGAACATATTCCTCTTATTTAGGCTTATTTGTTACACAATAATGTGTAACAGCTGTAGAGCTGGTGACATATATTCAGTAACAGCCATATGATATGCATAGCACTTTAACTTATATTAAATGAAAAGTGTTAAATGTTATTTATTAGCATTAGTCACCTTCGGTGCTGTCTCACTTGTGGAGGCTTGTTCCAGGTTCCTAGCTGCAGTGTGGGATCCTCTGCACGCTTGTGCATGAAGGACAGACTTTTTAAGTTCAAAGTTTTTGTCTATCCATTGCGCCGTAAGACTAATCATGCTAACGGGGCTAACACGACGTCCAAATGTCTGTGGTAAAACTCACCCAAGTGCTATCAGCTATTAGCTTCTCAATGATGTCGGAAATGACGGCTTGTAACTCGTGTAAGGTTACGTAGGAAAAATATCTCCGACTGGGGAGGATGTAGCGAGGTTCAACGTAGTCCAAAAATCTTCGGGATGCGACATCCTAAACAACAAAAGTAACTTCCACACCACCGACTTTTTGAATTTTCTTCTCCGCCATGAGATCAGGTGGGCGTGCGTGACGTCATCACATTGTGCTGCTGCAGACATCCTAGTCACTTGGTTGTCATATAAAAACAGCTCCTTTTATATCGGTGAGTTATTCTGATGGAATGTCCGACATTGAACTTTAACTCCAATATCGACCGATATCGATACTACGCCGATAACATCGTGCATCCCTACATCAAATGTTATGCAATTAACATTTGAGTCAATTTGAGCTGTTTTAAGAATGTGCTATTCATTAGCAAGTTATTTAAAAATACATCTTGCAAATGCTCATAAAGCGTTTATTTTGAGAAAGGTTTAAAACCTTGTTAAGGTTCTCAAGAAGTTAAATTTGTTTTGAACTTCAGAGACAAACTACTCCAGGAACATGTCAGGGAAACATTTTTGCAGTTAAGAGTGATCTTATTTAAACTATATCCTTTTTCTTTCAGGGAAATTCTAGTGATTAATAATAGTTTTAAAGTCATCCATCTGCATATTTAAACAAAAACTTAGTTTTTTCTCTGTTTGTGGAGGTTTCTTGTATTTTAGTGTAAAATGTAACTTCAGAGGTTTGAGTCTGTGTTGTAGCATCAGACTGACAGGTCCCATTAACGGAGCACCTGGGCCGACCGTGTCCCTGTGATCAAACAGCCGACCTGCTGTGTTTCATCACCGCCTTTTTTTTCAAGATGCGTGCCACTGCCTCATCAACAGGAAATCATTTTCTAATTTTACCCTAAATCCCTCTGTGACAATGGCTCGCTCACTCCTTTGAGTGCAGTTCAAGTGGGGTCGTGTTATTATCCGTTCGAAGCACTTTAAAACCATTTTACTGAGCAAGCAGACCGAGTATGGTGCAGGCAAACACTGTGGTAGGAGAAATTAAAACTCCTCACTCAAGAAGTCAGGGTTTTTTGAACGATGTTGAATATTTTCTCCACACAAGCCTGTTTATATTTTACAAACGTGCAATGATTTTTACAGACAGGAACATATGTATTTTAATTTTATTGAAACCATGTTAAGTTTGACATGCCTTTTTAATTTTCTTCTACATTAGTTTTGTGTTGATTGTTGTTTTTCGTCACTTTTCTTCTCTTTTGTGCATGTTTTGTCATAATTATACTTTCTTATTTCTTTATTTTGCTTCTTTCTGATTCCTCCTTTTTGTCCAAACAGAACAATAAGGACAAAATGTTTCAGGTATTTTCTTTTACTCCCTGATTGGTTTCTTCCCTTCTTTACACATTACTAAAGCTGAACCAGATATTTCTGTGGCAGCTGTTTTAGATCATCCTTGAAGAATGAATGCACTTTATTTAAAAAGGGACAATGTACAACTCAGACATAAATGTCACCATTTGATGCACTGTACCAGATTATAGCAAAAGCTAATTCACATCTGCATTTTGACTTCCACAGATTGGATCTTTATAGTATATTTCGAGTGTGTTATATGTGAGCAGATGAGGAGAGCTCCTCATGCTTCAGACTGCTGAAGTTTCAATATAACGTTACACCAGATGGTTCTTTAGGGATTCTTTGGTAATTAGGTCAGTGCTCAATCAGCAATAATGGATAGAACAGCTTTTCTTTTGAAGGGCCAATTCTGTACAATTACATTTGATACATTTCAGCCTCCCAGACTTTCTGTTTCTTTCTCTACTCCTCCTGTTGCTCAAGATGACCATTTCTACACTTTCCCTTCTTTGTCAAAGGTCAAGCTTCGCAACCTGGAGCAGAAATGCAGGTCACACAGTGAACATTTCCACCAGCTGTCCAAAGACCTGCTGAGCTTCCGTTTGCATTCAGAGCCCGTGGAGATCCTCGTACAAAACCGGTCCACCCCATCATCCTGGATCATTTTCTCCCCAGAGGAGAAACTCTCAGAGGTCATCGTTGAATTTGAAGTTCAGTCCAAGACAGGTGGGTCAGATTTGAGCTAAAAGTCAGCTTTCAGCCATATTTTGGTCAACTCTGGCACGAAAGGCAGAAGACAATATGAAATCTTTCAAGGAATTAATTACTATTAATAATATCCATCCATTTAATTGTCCCTCAGAAGTGGACACCTGCTTTTTGTCAGTATCCTTGTCTAACCTAAATGATTGAATATAATTTAAGGCATTAGTATTCTCACAACTTGTTCATCAACCTGCAAACCCAGCAGGTTTATACACTGCCTGGGCCAATTAAAAGTCGCCCCCTAGATTTAACTAAGCAAATAGGTGCGAGCCTCCTATTGGATAATTACTGCATGGGTGATTATCTTTCAGCTGGCAACAAGTTATTTAACCCCAACTGGTGCAATGAGTTGCTTCTCATTTCTTAAACAACCAGACACATCACGTGGTCGTGGAAAAGATGTCAGTCTGTTTGAGAAGGGTCAAATCATTGGCATCAAGCAGAGAAAACATCTAAGGAGATTGCAGAAACTGCTAAAACTGGGTTAAAAACTGTCCAACGCATCATTAAAAACTGGAAGGATAGCGGGGACCCATCGTCTTTGCGGAAGAAATGTGGCCGGAAAAATATCCTGAATGATCGTGATCGGCGATCACTTAAATGTTTGGTGAAATCAAATCAAAGAAAAAGAACAGTAGCACTCAGGGCTATGTTTAATAGTGAATGTAAGAGCATTTCCACATGCCCTATGTGAAAGGAACTCAAGGGATTGGGACTGAACAGCTGTGTAGCCTTAAAAAAACACTAATCAGTGAAGCTAACTGGAAAAAAAGGCTTAAATTTGCTAGGGAGCATAAAGATTGGACTCTGGAGCAATGGAAGAAGGTCATGTGGTCTGATGAGTCCAGATTTATTCTGTTCCAGAGTGATGGGTGCATCAGGGTAAGAAGAGAGGCAGGCCAAGTGATGCACCCATCATGCCTATAGTGCCTAGTCATCAATGCAAGATCTTGGTGAAAAATTAATGCAACACTGGATGGAAATAGATCTTGTGACATTGCAGAAGTTTAACGAAACATTGCCACAGCAAATGTATGCCCTAATCAAAGCTAAAGGTGGTCCATCAAAATATTAGTGTGTGACCTTTTTTTTTGGTGGCAACTTTTATTTTGGCCAGGCAGCGTACATGCGGACACGTTATTTGATGAAATGGGGATTCTTATTATTATTCCATTTCACCTAAATCCCAGCACTGATGCTTTTGTGCCTAATGACATTACTCACAAACCAAAAGAACCCCGTGATGCAGGGGACCCATGCTGAAATAAAGATTTCCTCAAGGAAATCAGCTGTTGGCACTCATAGAATAGAGATATTTTTATATTGGATTTTCTGCCTTTTCCAAATGCGCTTAATCCCCATGAGTGCTATTTAAGGACATATATGCATTGCAGATGGGAAGTGCAGATGGAGATGGAGAAGCTTTTTTGCTATGAATGGTCTTAACTGCGTCATGGCTTGAAAACCCAATCAGTGGGTGTTGAATGAGAAGCAAATGGGCGCAGGAGGAAAGACAGATGCTCTTTGTGATATTTACATCAATGTTTCCCAGGTGATGAGAATGCTGCAAACACTCTGCCACTGATCTCCCAGTTTTTGCCCCACCCTGCGCAGACTGGAGACAGAGAGCCATCAGAACCGCTATCTGTCAAACCCAGCACCGTGACAATGGACCGCTCCGGCAGCCCTCGAAAGCCTTCTCCATCAGAGGTGTGTCTGAGTGACACCGCATCAGCAACACATCACATGCATGTTGCAATACGTATATTTATATTACATAAATATGGCTTCAAGATTATTTTGTAAACCTTTACACCCATGAATTTCACATTACATGGCTATTCTGGTAGAATTTTAGGTCTGCATTCCTATCAGAAGTGCCCCGGGCTACAGTTGGCTGCAAATTGTGCTTGCAAATATTCATAGCATTTTATCTTGATAACCATGTAATGGGAAATTGACTGTGGTGTAAAAGTTTATAAAATTTTGTTCTGATGAATCTAAGAGTAGAGTTGCTTTAGGATGTATACACTGGTCTTGGCTGCATTTGGATTAGCTGTTATGCCTATTGGGTCAGGACTAATCTATACGTTTCCAAGCTGAGAATGCTCAACCTGCATGGGAAAGATTCATAGTTCATAACTTTTTCACAGAACCCTACTTAAAAAATATATTAAAATGATTATACCATGCCACTTTATTTATAAAGCACTTAAAAACAGCAATAAGGCCAACCAAAGTGCTGTAGAGCAAAAATACAATAATCAAAGGACACAGAATAAAATACATAGATCCAAATAGGTAAAGATAGAAAGTATATGACTAACATTATAGAATACAGACAAGTTAAATCAACTCACACAGTGTCAAAAGCCAAATGTTTTTTTTAAATGAGACTCAAAAACAGTAATAGTGGGAGCCTGTCTGACATGTAGTGGTAACTCATTCCACAGTCTTGGACCAGCAGCAGAGAAAGCCCCGTCACCTATGAGCTTAAAACGAGTTCCCGGAACCAATAGAAGCATCGGCTCTGCTGACCTCGGAGAGCGCAGTGGGACATATGGCTGCAGCAGATCAGCGAGATAGGATAGGGCAGAATTGCTCAGAGATTTAAAAACATACAGAAGAATTTTAAAATGAATTTGTAAGTGAGCTGGGGAGGCCAGAACTGTAGTAATGTGCTCTCTTTTGCCTGTACCAGTTAAAAACCTAAAATAATCCTATTTATATCTTAAAGCATAGTAGGTCAAATGCTACAATAGACCTCTTTGCCATTTGTTGACTGTTACTGATGATAAGAAAACTAATATATAGATAAAACTTTTACCCCCATACTAGATGGAGGATGAGACCAGCCCATCACCCAGGTCCAAACCTCGCTACACAGGCCAGGTTCACCTTTGCACTGCTCGTTACAGGTAAAAATGACAAACACTTGCACGTTTATGCTAAGTTTACTACAGTATATAAAACCCTGACATTTAGGAGTACATCTTAAAAGTAAATTTAACACATTCTTCGATCCATTCTGCTTTAAGTTACAACCCTTACGATGGACCTAATGAGCATCCTGAAGCAGAGCTTCCTCTTGTGGCTGGAAAGTATCTGTACGTGTACGGAGACATGGATGATGATGGCTTCTATGAAGGTGAGTGAGAAGATAAAACTGTAAGGTTGTGTTTCAGTCATCGAGGAGTAAAGTAAAATAAGAGCAGAATTAGTTGTAAAGTCTTAAAATTGCAGCACAAAAAATAAAGATATATCATTGTCTGCTATCACTTCATTGTCTTATGTAAAAGATAATCAACACCATCAAACCTGAATGTATGAGAACTGTAGTGCTGATGCGGTCTTTTCTACTACAACGACAGCTCTTGCTCTTGCGTGACTGTTTGCATGACTCGTTACCCTCGTGCTAAAAATGTCCGCCGTATACCTTCTGGCTATGTTCACTCCGTGACCTCGTCTTCGTCAGTGCCGGCTGTCACCATGAAAACTTTCCGCGCACTTTCTCACAACTGCTCACAGGAGTGAATCCCTTTCTAATCTGTTAAGAATGATGAAGGCTTCCCAGTCAGAGGCAACCCTGATCCCCCTAGCCAGTGATTGTGCAGCCAACACCGCCTGTCGGAGTCACGGTGGTGCTCAGCTGCAGTGATTCATTAGCTGTGGGCGGTCGGATTGCACGCTATTGTGGAGGAGCTCTGTATTTACCACACAGGAAGGAGACTTGGGCCTCAGACCAAGCTGTTGACAAGATGGGAGTGTGGTCCCTTTTAGTGTGATGACTAATCCAGTGGGGCTCAGCTTAATCATCAGCACACAAACTGCACACAGTCTCACTCTCACATAGACATGAATACACGGACACAAAAGATCTAAGAGCTATGACGTAGAAGAACTTCTCGCCTTAAAGTCAAATTGTACAGAAAATCAGAGCCTTTTTTGTTTATTTGAAGTAGCCACGTCATCTGCGTCCTCTGAGGTGTACCTGGAAATATTTTAAAGCACCAGCTGATGTTTTAAGTTCTTCAGAAAGTGAAAGTTTTTTTTTTTTTTCAGAGGAACGTCTGAAATATAGTATTGAAGAAGCCAAATGGTAAAAATAAATAATAGAAAAGAGTATGCGCATGTCTCTCATCTCTTGCTGGGAATTTTTTTTAATTAATTTTAAATATGACACTGTCTAGCTGTAGTCTTTGTCTTGTTAAAAATAATTTAACAGTTGGGGCATCACAAGGGAGGCTGCACTTTCTTATAGCAACGTTTCCTTAATGTTAGTCTTCTCTTGTCCATCCATCCATCCATCCATCCATCCATCCATCCATCCATCCATCC